GAGAGAGAGAGAGAGAGAGAGAGAGAGAGAGAGAGAGAGAGTGAGAGAGAGAGAGAGAGAGAGAGAGAGAGAGAGAGAGAGAGAGAGAGAGAGAGAGAGAGAGAGAGAGAGAGGGAGAGAGAGAGAAAGAGAAGAGAAAATAGCGCCCTCGAGTCCAGAACAAATCTCAACCCATGGCAAGACGGCCTCAAAAAAATGCCGCAAAACAGTACGTTGGCAACAACAGTTGACACAACCACAGAAGTCAACAATGAGAAGATGAGGCTGAAATAAGTCTCATTGAAAGATGTTGTGATGGGTGGAAACATACAAGCGCTCTTCGGCATCAGGAATCAAGAATCGTGATGCCTGTCTCCTTCTCCAACTGCCAGGTTCAATCTCATTCACGTTCCGATGGATCCTGTCACTCGCACTGTAACCCTCACTCTTCGCACTCCCTCACTCTCACTCTCACTCTCATTCTCACTCTCACTCTCTCACTCTCATTCTTACTCTCACTCTCACTCTCATTCTCACTCTCACTCTCGCTCTCACTCTCACTCTCACTCTCACCCTGCCGCTCTCATTTCCTCTCTGCCCACCCTCACCTACTGTCATTGCCACGTTTGCCCGGACACGCTCGCTGAACCGCGCCCTCACACTCTCACGCCCACTATTCACTCTCAATTTCACTATGGATTTCACTATCGATTTCACTCCCAATTTCACTACTGATTCACTCTCGATTTCGCATTCGGTTTGTTTCGCATCATCTAGCCCTCGCCTATGTACAGCGGGAAACAAACGGCTTCAAGAGTGAACAACAAGCAAAGCCATATTGACCTATACATAAGAAAAAGACCAAAAACTAATGTGTCACCCCAGGATCAGGGACACCGTGCCGTCTAGTGCCCAGACCGTAGAACTGATACAGAGAGAGAAAGTACAAGTCGTGGAATAATGATTTCCTGAAGAACAGATCGATCGAGGTGGCGTTGCGGGTAATCACGAGCGCATTCGATGCGTTGGCTAGAGAATGAAAGACTCACCGATGCGCTGAGGGCCCAGGGGTTTCTGTAGGTGGAGTTGGTGTGGATCTGAACTGGTTGAGAATATCGTGCAGAGAGGGAGAGTCAGAAACTCGAGAAAAGTCTGGACTTAAATGCTAGCGAAGACACGCAAAATTCAAACTTCGAAGTTTGTGCTTGCACAGGTTGCGCTGCTATCTTGGCTAGCATGAATGTCCAGATTTTCCTCGGTCGCTTCACTCTCCTCTCCAAAGGTATATTCCCCAACCAGTTCAAATACACACGGATTCCACCTACAGGAATCTCTGGGCCCCTCACCGTTTCAGCAAGTACATCGTTCTCAAGCCATGCATCGAATGCACCCGTGAACACTTGCTACACCACCTCGATCGATCTGTCCTTCAGGAAAATCATCAGTCCACATTGCGATTTCTACGTTCTCCCTCTGTCTCCAGTGGATTTATTGTACTGATTCACAAAAACGTGTCAATGAATGAGATGCGAGATTGTGCCGGTAAACACGTCGACAGGTGCCTTGAGAAACACACGTTTTCACCTTATTAATGTGAAGACAACAATGACAACTCCACCGGTCCCTGTTCGAGGGAAAAAGAACAAGAAAACGCAACACCCTCACGACAAAAAAAAAAGAAAAAAAAATAGGGACGAAGAACGACGAAAAACGAGACCGGACGGGCGGGACACTCACTGCTGGAAAGAAATGTGGACGAGAAACGGCGAGTCGAGCTTGTGGTACGCAGAGGAAGACCCCCCCTTCCGCATCGCCGACACGGCCTCCTCCAGCTGGCCCCGGACCCCCTCGCAGAGACGCGCGAGCAGGGTCTTGGGCGTCTTGCCGGCAACCAGGGCCTTCTCGCGGGCGCGGGCAAGCGGGGGGAGCGGGGGCAGCGAGGGATCGTGCGCGCGTTGCTTGTAAGAGAGGAAAAATGAGTCTTGTGTGCCCTGTAAACCTTGTACAAGGGGCTATGGCGTCGGTGAGGTGACTGCTGCTACGAAAAGGGTGAAGCACAACGGTAGCGAGGTAGAGCCACACGCGTGCAGACACAGCAATAGTATAATAAAACCGCTGCAGATAAATGTGCTTCCCGAGGTGGCGATTGAGATCTCAAGAGATGGAACCTGCTCCACTACCCATTCGAACAGCGGGCAGCTTCTTCATTCAGAAAAAGTTACCAACCCTAGCGCACCACTGTCCACCCATTCATCCCACCCACTTCAGCTGCCGCAGAATAATCGGTCGCACCCGCGCTTTTCGTTTCACGCGCGCGGACTCCCTCACCTTTCCGATGGCCATCTGCTGCGCTTCCGCAAGACAGAAGTGAACGAGCCCCTCGCAGATGCCGGGCTCGGCCTCCACAAGGCGGGGCGCTTCGGATGTGTCTCCGACCCATCGCGGGAGCTCCGCCTTCGAACGGGCACAGGCAGGCAGGATGCGTTTCGCAAGAAGTCGGGGGGGCTATGATACATAACGAGGCTGTTCTTAGGCTATCGAAGAAAGAAAACAAGTGCACATGCCACCTTGCGCATACGACACGTAGAAAGGAGTGTGTCGGGAGTAACATGTTGCTACGATTCCGCGTTCCCTGTGACGGTCAACAAATGGAAGGTATTGGCTGCGAGAAACCACATCAACACAAGCGGATACGATAGAGCCATCGTATCCACGGCAGCGACTCTACGTGATGCATGGGAAAAGTCGTAAAGAGGAACACATCCTTTGTTCTCTGCATGAGGGGGGGCACACCATAGCTTTGGCCAATCGATCGTACTTGTGCGAGAAGAAAAAAATCCGAGGCAGAAACCAGACAGATATTCCGGAGTGCATGTGAGTGAATCGACGCTAGGTCAAGATGAATCTTCCTATCCTAAACCAGTCGAGCAAACTGCCAAAACACAGGCGGCAGAGTTCGTCCTGGCGGCGCACGAGCGCCATAGGAAATGAAACGGAAAGAGACCCGTCACTCCGGCAAAAGAACAACATTTTTCGTCGTTAGGACCCACCTTGTGAAGGCGTTCGAAGATCCCCGCGGCTTTTCGGAGGTGCTCCCCCGCCTCAGTGAACTTGCTCCCCTGGCTGTCCTCCAACATGTTGTACACGGTGTCCGCTGCAGGAAAGAATCCCGGAGCCCAAACAACAAATATCGAACGTGACACGTGGGGGTGGAAAAAAAGGGAGACGAGCGGGAGCCAAAAAATCTGACTGAGGCCTCAGGAACTGAACCAAGAGTCAACTAACCCTGTACACGCAAAAACATTTGGGCGCGTCCGCCTCCTGCGTCTATCTACCGCGGACCATGGTCCGAATGAACTGCAGCAGTGGGGTCGGGAGGGCAAAGCTACGTGTGCCAGCAGACCAAAAGAGGCGGAGAACGGATGAAGCAAACAACGAGGCTGAAACCATTGGGCCCCAGCAAAGTGAACCAAGGAAAGCAGGATTGAGCGGTAAAGGCACAGCAGGTCAGCACGACGAGACAGAAGACGGTCAGCATGCGAAGCCGCACAGACTTACCGTAGGAGAGAGCTTGCGCGGCCAGAACCATGCACTTATCCCACACAACCGCTTGGTTGGTGATCCAGTCTTGGCGGGGCTAGCGGATGTCAGCAGACGAGGAAAGAGGTTGTACCGTAGGGGGTAGTCACTCCTAGCATCACCATAGCTCGTTGCGACTCTCAAGTACGCTGCGTGCGAGACTCAAACCAACCAACATCAACCTCTTCGAACTACACGCGGTCTCACACTCTGGAGACAGTTACACTACAAGCTGCCCTCCATGCTTTGTGATGTCACGAACATGAGGAAGCCTATATTCTGCCTTGACATCGGCAACAACCAGCTCCGTACTGCATACGCTGCGGCAGCAGTACACTGCGAGCAGCGCGCTCACCCGTTCTCCAAGACCCGTGGCCCACGTGAAGGAGAGAGGTTCGTTCAGGTACACCACGTCGTTCTGGAAAAAAAAAATGGCGTCGCGCGGGGCGTGGGTTTCGGCGTACGGGTGGGGTGGAAAGGGGGAGAGCATCATCTTATAGACCTGCCCCGAAATGGCAGTACCCTTGTCAGGCCCGTTAGCGTGAGGGCAGAGCGTACGCCCACGCACAGCGACAATCATTTCGCCGCATTTCCCTCCATGCACAAAGACGTTTATCAAATGGGCATGTGGGGCAAACTCATTTCCGCAGCGGGTGTAGAGACGCGTCCGCACGCGGGGGAGGTGTGCTTGCAACAAAACAGCGTTTAAACAAGTGCTACTTGTTGTCCGTGAATCGTTGGCGCCTGACGCGTTCCGGTTGCAAATCGAAACGCACACAGAATGGAGGCGTGCCAGCGGTGTGCTCTCCGTAGGTAGAGGGACGAGAGATGGCTGGTTAGATTCCGCGAGAGACGATTCAACGGCAAAGCCGCTGCTCCCTGACTTGACAAACCTGCTGGTGCGCACAGCGAAAGGCGTCGCACACCAGGGTAAGCTACACTTCGTCCCACGACTGTTGTTACGTACTTTCAGAACGAGCCCTGTTGCAGTCCCCCCCCCCCTACTAGGGACCCATCGTTGTCGCCGCCCCCCGGTCACCCTTAGTCTCCTCGAATCCCTCATCGGGCCCTTCGTCTCTTCTTCCCCCCCTCCTTTGCCGCTGTTCCATATCAGACATGACAACCACTCGATTCGAACTCCGGCTGGGTGTACCAGCCCTAGTACGGTAATCGGTAAGCCCGATTACTTTACCCGGACTGGTACACTCAGTCCGAGTACGGACCGGGTGGATGTCATTTCCGACACGAAAGAGACCCAGGAGGGGGGTGGAGGGAGCAGAGACGCAAGGACCGACGAGGGAAAAGAGGAGACCAAGAGTGACCCCGTTAAAGGCGACAACATGACCTACCCGCCATCTACAAAAATCAAAATCGGGACCGTCGAGGCTCATCCCTTGTTGTTTCGTCGCCACCGTCGAACATCAAGTGAAGCAAACAAAAAATGCCCCCCATCCCGCCGCCCACGATAGAGCACTACTGCAGATTGCTCCACCACTCTTAGCTATGGTAGAAAAACAGTGTACATTTGAATACACCGCTGACGTGTTTTGCATCCCTAATTTCTTGGTTTTCGTGAAAAAAATTGAGGTTGCACCTGTGAGCGGATATTTTGCTGATTGCGGGCCGCCCGTGCTGCATGCGACCAAGGTACGATTCTCCCGGCGGTACGTCACATCGCAGCCTTTCGTTCAGCAGAGGGAGGGGTGCAAGAAAGCCGCCAGGGCAAAGGCTACCAGCGACGGCCGCTCATTGCAAAGTGTGGTATCGAGGGTTGATACTGGGTGCCATGGAAATTCCAAGAGCGGCCGACAATTACAAACCGCGAACACAAGTCAGTCATGCCCCGAAAATCGCAGCAGTCGCCCTTATGTGGGTATTCTGCTGGTGAGCATTGCCCCAAGGCGTCGCACACCAGGTGAAGTAACACTTCGAACATGTCCCAAAGACAATTGTACTGTATGTTCAGAGGGGGGGGGGTGTACTCATAGTCGTGCATGCCGTAGTCGTTGGACCATTGACCTCGCATCCCTACAAAGCCGGGACGGAGCATGCCGGGTTCTCACCGGACCAGGCTCTCACATCACTAAGCGCGAAGCGCCGTGAGGTATTCGGCGAGTCTCATGAAGGGTGCGCTGCATCCTGCTAAGGGTATTCGGCATCTTATGCTTACTTCCTTGCGTACGGATGACAGCTGCGTATGACTTAATTTGTTTTCTAGTGCTTTCACTTCCAGAGACAGCTGTAAGCGGTGTGTAACTGCCTCGAGGGTGCTTGACCAATATTAACACAACGTGCGATTATCCCCTCTTCTCGGAGTCAGGGTTCTCGACTCCGCACAACATAATCTACTCGACCACCATTCATGATTACCGCAAAAAAAAAACGAAGGCAAAAAAAAAGCGGTAATCTGGTTGCCGAGCTCTCGAAGTGATCGGCTTGTTTTACAACATCGCTGCCAAGCGACGAAAACCCAACCTTGATGGCAAACACTGGGGGGGGCGGCATGTTTTACAACGTCGTTGCCAAGCGACGAAAACCCAATCCCGATGGCAAACATCGGGGGGGAGATGTATGTTCAGATGGGGGGGGCTGTTGCAGTTTCCCCCCCACCCCCCTCGGTAGGGGCCCATCGTTGGCGCCGCCCTCCCGGCACTCTTAGTCTCCTCGAAGCCCTCACCGGGCCCTGTGTCTCTTCTGCTCCCCCTCCTCGGCCTGCTCCGTATCAGACCTGGCGCCCGCCCGGTTCGAACTCCGGCTGGGTGTACCAGTCCGGTTGAGGTAATCGGTAAGCCCGACCACCTTAACCGGACTGGTACACCCAGTCGGAGTACGGACAGGGTGGATGTCATTCCCGACACGGAAGAGGCTGAGGGGGGAAAAGAAGAGACAAAGGGCCCGACAACGGAAAACAGGAGACAAAACAGTGACCCTGTTAACGGCGACAAGGCCAGCCCGCCATCTAGAAACGTCAAAATCGGGTCGGCCGAGGATCAATTCTAGTAGTTTTTGCCCGCCTCCTTCGAGCATAGGTTCATAAATACCACAGACCTCCCGCCCCCCGTCCCACGCCCCAAGTAAGCACTGCTACAGATTGCTCCACCACATTTGGGTCCACCGCTGATGTGTGTTTCATCCCTATTTTCATATTTTCCAGGACAAGTTCGATGCGTTTCTCCCGCTATGTACGCATCGCATCGCAACCTTTCGTTCAGCAGAGGGAGGGGTGCAAGAAGACTGCCAGGGTAAAGGCAGCCAGCGACGGCGGCCCATAGCAAAGTGTGGCACCCTAGGTAATCCCAAGAGCGGCAAACTACCACAAACATAAGTCCACCGTGCCCGAAACCCACAGTCGCTTTTACGTGGATGTGCCTAGACTTCGCGAAGACAACTACCTGAGCATTTCGCATCCCGAGCCAACGGGGCTGCTGTAAGCTTCTCCGCGACTCAGCCGCCACGTTTATCACCAAACTCTCGTACACGTGTAGCTTGGCCTACTGCTTGGGTGCGATGGGAAACTCAAACCTTCTTCCCGCCACTCAACCTTCTTACCGCCTTTTCGAGAGAGCGTAGGACGTGCGCGATCAGAGGGCAGTAGCGAAGCGCACCGGCCACGGCTTGCGCGTAGTTGGGAGTCCCAGACGCGAGCTCGTGGGCTAGGTCGTCGCGCGCCTGCTCCATGGAGCTGAAAACATACAAGAAAACAACGGGAAGAAAGTAGCAGCACACAACAAACGGCCGATCGAGTTACAAAAGAGAACGTCCACGAGTGCGGAAGGACAATTCTTGAGCCTCTCGCTGGACAGCTTGGGAGCCTCTTGGATACATACGTCTTGATGCCGTGTGCTCCCTCCTCCCTCTTCTGCCCGTGTATCTTGCGTCCCGCATGGCCTCGGCAGGTGCCTCGGAAAAATGGGAAACACGCCTCGCAATGTAGTTGCAGTACATATAGTCCGAGGCACCGCCGGTGGGTAGGTGGGGATGGAGCAGGAGAGACATATATACCCGTTGGATCGAACGCTTCCTTTCGAAACTACAGTGCTGGTTCCTGGTTCGAACCCGGCCTGGTGCTGTACAATTTTTTTGCACAGCTCAAAACCTAGGACATAGCCCTATCCCTAACCCCAACACAAACAACCCGACCCAAAGCTACACACTGGTAAGCGCTAGGTCTGTACGTGCAGTAAGCCTAGGCCGCGGGAAGACCCGGCGCCAGGGGGGGGGGAAGCTAGGTGTGCACGGCTAGCGCTAGGTTGCTGAACGGTGAAAATCTAGGTTGATGTACAGGCCTAAGGCGGGATATAGGTGAAACGCTAGGTTGCCCTACGTGTACGTGAAGGCCGCGGTGCAAAGAGGAGGTAAGGGCTAGGTTGTACTTGTACACGGTAAGCGCGAGGTTGCTGTGCACGAGCTGCAACCTACCCAAGGAATGTTCCGAGAAATGGTATTCCGACCGTCAACCATATTCCGTTCGACCAAGTCGTGAGAACTACCGGCGCTATGATAGTAATAGCCGACGAATGGAAATGTATCATTGGTTTGCAGCAAAGAGCGCGTGTGTTGCCTCAAACTCTAGGACCTCCATGATCTAGTGAAAGCAGAGCAGAGTACCCGACTGGAGAGGGAATACGCCACGTTGCGCCATTGACTTGTACTCGCGACTTGGTTTCGCGGAGATTTGGAAGCATTCCCGAGGCGGAATTCGGCTGCACACACGCCGGTTATTGTACTCATAGAGAGGGTAAACATTATTCCTCTTCCCGGTCTTTGGAAGTATGCTACCGCGCATGTCGTTTGGAACCGTGTACAGTCTAGAGCAGCAGGCTCCTCTTGCGAAAGGTTTTACTTTTACTCAATGCCACCGCCGCCGCAAACGCCCTCAACGGGTCGTCCCGACTTGCACAATACCTTTTGGGCTGTTGCGCATCCCTGGAACGGGCGAGTCGTGACACCGTCTGTACCAGCCCAAGGAACGTTCTGTCGATTCCATTGAATTGACATTGAAGACCTCGATGCGACAGCAGTTGTGCACAGATGCTCCGCTTTTCGTTTGCGAAGAACAGCAGTGTTATTGCACTATAGATCGCAGGCTGCTACCCCACGGCACTGGCAAAGAGATAAACTGGGTCTATATCGGCTGCACTACGTATGCAGTCATGCTAAGCATCCAACGTGTACGGACGGGCAGACCGTGGGCACTTCAACCGCAAGGTAACGCTGACCTGATTGCCTTGGAAGTTTCTTCCGCCCCGAGGTTATCGGCGAAGCACTTCGTGAAGGCTATCACCTTTGTCGCCGGGAGAGGAAAGCGGTACACATGCGTGGCCACCTTGAGCAGCGCGGGAGATAGCTCCGAGTCCGCTAGCGAAGCCATGGTTCGTTGGTTCGCAGCAACGCGACACCACTGAGTAGTGCTGGTACTTGTACGGGATGGTTGGTCATATGGGGCACACACAGATGCAGCAAGATGCTTTGACCCCCCCTGTCTGGGAAAGGTTTTCATAATAGATCGTTGGGCATGTTTTTTTCGGGAGCTGGTGTCATGGAAGGAGGACAAATTACGCCGCGTTTTCGGTCGCATCTACAACTGTGCATAACTCTGACTCACGCTTTGGCATTCCTCTCTCGCTGTTGTAGTCGTTCGTACGACCGTGAGCGCTGTGCTTTCGCACGGGAAGGCCACGGACGCTCGTGCACACACGCAGCCATGCACTCCGCGGTATCCGCCATCGCTACCATGCTGTTGGTGGGCCGAACGGCGGCTTTTCTGACGTCATCCTCAGCTGCGATTGCTGTGTCGCAACGGTCAACGAACAAGCTCAGCATGGCAGCCACCAAGCCGGACCAGCTCCCTGCAGACGCGAAGCGCTACTACGTCCGACCAGACAGATTCTTAGACGTGCTGACTTCAGCACCGCAGCTGTTGTTCAGGCTAGGAAGCGGGGCGTTGGTGGATGGGTACACAGGTGAGGGATCTACAGCAGTAGTCTACGCATTTCCGCACGGCAGGCACGTTGACACAACACTCGTCGTATCAATGAAAGCACGTGTGCTTGCCTACATTGACTTCTAGGTAGGTTGGGAGCGTTGGGTCTACCTTTGATAGGAATGCGTTGAAATACTGTAGGATCCGCCCAAGTCTACATAGTATGCTAGTAGCCCAGTGAGGTGTGGAAGGACAAGTTGGCTCGTTTTATGCATCCAAAGTATTGCGAAAGATCTCTCGTCGTTGCTCAGGCACGTGAGTGCTCAACTCCCCGCTGTCGCGGAGCCCTTCAGAGATGTTTTTCTTCTAAAACTTCAAGCATCTTGGTTTGCAATGCTGTGTGTAAGGGACAAGGTGTGATGGTAGTGTGAGGTGCTACACAGCGTACACGAGATGGACAACATTGTCCTATGCATAGCCCCCTCCGTTTTTCTGATCTTCTCACGATGCCGAGAACGACGATTGTCAACAACACTCGACAGTTAAGGTGTCGAGGGAGGAGGAAGGAGACGAGGGAGAATATGCGGTCGTCCGAGCCCTAGGATTCAAGGTGCGATGGATTCGGTTTTGCTGCTGTCTTTCTCTGGTGGTGCTGTGCCCCCCTTTGAAGACCGTAGTTGTGCGAATGTGCTGTCATCTCTTCCCTTCTGGACGTGAGCGCACACCTACCGGTGTGTGTTGAACGCACCAGCTGGGGTCACACGCAAATACCTGTTGGTGGTTCTGTACAAGCACTGAAGAAATGCTCAGTTGGTGGCGTCCTGGACCTTCGAATGGGATGCTATGACTCTACCCTTTCAAGTTCTTGTTGCGCCCTTAATGTTTAGGCTCGTGCGGAATCGTCCAGAGTGGGAATGCATCCATTCTTCGGGAGAGCCAATGGTAATGGTGTGTCCCGTATCTCGGCCCAGATTAGTTTGCCTGCACTGCCGCACAGTCAGCGGTTATTGCGTGCGTGTTGTTGGTCGTGGTTGCCTGTGTTTGTTTAGCTAGGATGAAGCGAGGGATAGCGAACTAACGAATGGACAACGGAGCTTGGGAACCGGAGCAGAAACTGCAGCCAAGTACATCCGTGTCCGGCTTCACCGGCTATTGTATCGGTCGACCAGTCAAAGACCCCGAAAGCAACTGGTGAAACCGCTGTTTTTCTTGGGAGTAACACTTCCCATCCCGTTGCCAGTGGGGGTGTTCCCTAGGGGTGCTTACCTCTACACCCACGACAAAGGATACGACCCAGGAAAAAAAAGTAATAGCTACTGCTGTACATTTTCTCGGAAATCTGTTTTTTGACCAGGTATTGTAGTGGGTCGTGCTGACTTCATTCTACTGCTGTCTCGCTCGTGTATTGTTGGGGACGGACGCTCGCCGCTTAGGTGACGGAGAGGGGGAACACTTGGGACAGACAGCAGCCGCGAAAACCCATCGAGATCTACGAGTTCGAGGGCTGCCCATTCTGCCGAAAAGTGCGGGAGGCAATCAACATCGTGGATATCGACGTCGTCTTTTATCCTTGCCCCCAGGGTGAGCACGAAGTTAATGAATTCCTTTCGGGACCGAGGGCTTTTCAAGGTTCCCGGTCTGATCAGGGGTAAGCTGTGTCCCTGATATGTATAGACGATTTCCTGTCCTCCGACAACCGTGCGCTCATGACACATCCCCAACCAACCGTATCCACTAGAATGATGTTGCAAGCTTCTTGTGCTATTGTGGACACGACGATGTCCTCTTTGGCGCATAGCCGTGTGTTGATTTTTTTGGCTAGCCGTGGTTTCACCGTGAACACTCTTGGAACTTGGAGTGGTTAATAGGCACCAGCAAGGTGATAGATGTTGTATGTGCCAGCAACAGAACATTGGTCTCCGCTGTGGGGTAACGGCTGACGATACGACATGTTTCACAGCACATCCGGGACACTCGAAAATCGTGTTGGTTTGACGTGAGTGATACGCACCTTCGCATGGGAAGGACTTGTATTTACTCTTGCTGCCCGCCGTATGCTGTTGTTGTGATTTCATACATTTCGCAAGACAATCTCAAGTTGTTTCCGGCGACGGGTGTTTTCCGTTTTTTGGACGTAGTAACACGTATGCATAATTCGAGTCTGCGTTAATTTCTTTCTTGAGTTTCAAATTGCTTCACGTCACTATGATTGTTCCTATGCATGTTCCCATACACAAATTCCCCGCTCCCCCGAACCAGGAGGGCCGACGTTCCGCCCGAAGGCGAAAGAAATGGGCACCACCGCCTTCCCCTACATGGTGGACCCCAACACGAAGACTTCCATGCCGGAGAGTGACGAAATAGTCAAGTATCTTTTCGAGACGTACGGCGAAGGAGCAAAGGTGGACACTTTTTTTTCGCGCGTTTCTATCCGACTAGGCTGCGTTTTGTTTTCGTCCCACCACCTGCCCTTTCGGTGATGCTAAAATGCCCGCGAGGGTCCACCTGTTCTTTGTGTTGCTTTGCCAAGGTTACCGTGTTTCTGGGTCGCGTCGAGCGTGTACGGAATCACCGTTGCTCCAACATTAGACGTTCGTTGAACTGATGGACGCACGCTCGGTATTGTGCTGCTTAGACCGTTTGGCGGCGACCTCGTGTTTTTTCTGCTCAATGATGCTCATATCGGAAATTCCTAGTAACCACCGTGGAGTTCGTGTGCGATTTTCTCATCTCCAACCCATTGACACCCCCGTCTCTCGTTTTTGAAATAGGTGCCTTTCCAACTGTCCCTTGGGTTTGGCACGACGTTATCGGCCGGTCTTGGGATGCTCCCCCGGGGCCTGAAGGGTTCCAAGTACACCCCGGTGAGCTGATGCTTTGTTGACGCAGCAAATTGTTTCCGTGTGCGGGCACCCTTACTTTGTCGTTTTTTCTATCTACAGCGTAGTCTCTCGGAGGCTCGAATGACCTATTTGCTTTTGAAACTGTGACAAGTCTTGGGTAACTATACTCAAATTTCACTGGTTGGTTCTAGAAGGGACAAATTTACCTTGCACGTTGCAACCGTGATTGTCGGGCTGGCTATCCGTCGCCACCCCCCCCCCCCACCCCGATTATGAGGCGCCTCCCTCCGACTTGTGATAGACCGCGAAGGGTTCACAACGCACGTGTCCCTTTTCTGCAAGAGCTGCATACCGCCGCAGGAAGACAACTATAGAAAAATAACGTTGCTCGCTCCGTCAGAAGTAGTGTGAAGCTACCCTATGCCTTCACATACAGGCCAAACCATCCTGATGTATCCCTTCTTCTTGCCTTGCCCCGCACGCCCTGGATGCAGGCCAAGATGCCAAAGAAGCCTCTGGAACTGTGGGGATACGAGGCGTCACCTTTCACCAAGGTATCGCATTTGTTTTGTTCACACGGAATCCGCACATGCGTCTCCGTTGTTCGGCTCCTTTCTTGCGGTCCCTCACTGCCTGGTTACCGTTGCCACACATGTTGGTGAATGTCTTCTCACGGATTTTCCGCTTCCACAATGTGTCGGATTTTTAGTGGATGCTTACGATCTGCTTTTGCGCAGCGCTGAGCTTGTTTTTCGGGTGGGAAGGCGACCCTCGATACGCAACTGTCGCTACGGTCACTTCCCTTGGACAGGATCACTCTCAGAACGTACTTTTTTTTCGTCTCGGAAAGGTAGGTATTTAGTCTCGCCACTGCCTCCTCCTGCTCGCGAAATGTCTTTATAGGTCGTTCGCGAGAAGCTGAGCGAGTTGGAGATCCCGCACAAGTTTGTCTCTTCTGCGAGAGGGAGCCCGAAGGTACGTGCTGGGGTGTCAGTCGATCGCCTACAATAGGTCTTAAATGTTAGACGTGCTTTCGCAACGTGGACAACAGGGTATGGTTGTTCTGTTGGTAGGCTCAGGCGTCGGCTCGCGCTCAGGGGCCGGCTCGGGGGGGTAAGCCACTTAAGATACAATGCAAACGCAAGAGTCGAGAGGTTTGACTGTAGTTGCGAACTACTTGTACTCTTGGCCCCGTGCGCATTACGTGTTTCAGATAGACGCGTCCGAGGAGTCTTATCCGTGTCCCGACGTTTGCGTTATCCATCGACTTCGAACGACGGTATTCCCAACCGCGTCTTGACTTCTCAATGAGTGCTCGCCGAGAGCATGGTCTGAAAGTGAAGACCAAAAATATAAGAAAGTGAAGACCAAAGTGTATTTGATGGCCCCCCGGCTCACGACGTTTTCAACGTTTCTCTGGGTATGCGCGCCCAAAGCATAATAAGTGTCTAACAACACGCGCTGCATGACTGTCTGGCAGCTCTGATCCGATGCTCTTGTCCTCTCTCTCTCTCTCTCTCTCTCTCTCTCTCTCTCTCTCTCTCTCTCTCTCCCTCTCTTGTACCCACTGCAGCGCCAAAAGTTGTACGAGATGGCGGGTGCCGGACAGACGCCATATTTGATAGACCCCAACACCGGCGCTAAGGGATACGAATCCTCCGAGATCAATGACTACCTGGATAAGACCTACGCGCTTTAGACCAAACCGTTTGTGTTGAGGCTAGTGGTGGAGTTTTGTGTATGGACCGGGGAACCTACAGTGCAATGGAGCGCCATCGGGTTGTCTGGGAGGCCCTTCGAATAGCTAGCTGGATACAAGACATTTGAGGCATAGGACCACTCGAAGTAACCCGAGGGTTCAGAACCTCCCAAGTGTTGACTTGCATGTCGACCGCTGTGAATAGTCCAGCGCACCTTTGCACTAGGTTGAAAACCACGGCGCAGAACCATGAGTTCCACCGAGGAGCAGGATAGGATAGTCAGTTCATTGGCTCAACGCGACAGTTTTTGGGATGGACGAAACCAGCTTGGATTCTAGAAGGTATGCACCGGTTTTTGCACGACCGGCGTGTTTATTCGGTTGATGTTGGTCTCCAAGTGCAGTATGTGGATTTCATTCGAGTCCCGTGCCCGTTTTCCCCCACTTGATTCGGAACAATTTTGTTTATTTTTCATACAAGGACACATGTCGATGGTGTTGCACAATGAAGTCATCTGGTTAAACAGAGCGGCTGTGAATGTTTTTCACGCGTGTGCGCGAACGGCGACGACTCGCACGATTCGTGTGGGCAGGAAGTTCCGTTGGCTAGAATCTATGTATCCCTGTCTTGAGTTTCTATGCATTGCTAGAATAGGTTTGGTGCTGCCTTATGGGCAACAGATTCACATGTATGGTGCCCTTGCCGTTGGGAAACGAGAGGAGTTACAGCACTTGTTCATTCCTTCAGAGTAGTTCCAGGCTGACGCGACGTACCCAGCAGCAGTAGCTTTCTCACAACAGTCTGCAGAATTCAGAGGAGCTGCATGAAAGACCACGAATCATGCTGTCAATCACGGAAGACCTTGAAGATTATCCGGCGTGTCTTCTCCATCCACCGCTCGCTGCCGAGTTTTCGTATTCAGGACATTCAAAAGCTTTCGTTCACAAATATGGATTGGATCTTATGATCTCTCTCCAGGTCGGAGGCGATACTGCAGGGTAGGCCTTAACGAACTTCGGGCTGGGGGAAGGAAAACACCCACAGCACATCAATCATCGCTCAACACAAGTACCCTGTGCAACAGACTCAACACGCGCAAGACGATCACGTTGTGGTGGTTCGTTCTACTGCATGCAGTATTGTATTCTGGATGGGAGGATCTCAGTGGCAGGCCGACTACTCCAGCACCCACTTTTCCAGCGGAACAGCATAGACTCGTTTCTACGCCTCCATCTGCATCCTGCACGTATGGGCTCATCGACTGCCCACGCTTCATCGTATTTCTGCACGTGGGCAGTCGGTCCACGCACGCTCATTTTGCACTGTCCGGTGCCACGCGAACATTATCCGCATGAACCGCAACATATACTCTACATCCGCGTACTCTCCATCCGCGGAGCCCCCATCCAGCTGCTGCAAGCTGCTGTGTCTGTCCTCCTACACTGCAAGCACTGCTGTGCACAGCCCTGTGTACAGTGCTTGCGTGGGGACAGCACCAGCACACGCATACACGATGACAGCCCGAGCATTCCTCCGCCTTTCGGACGATCTACGTCAAGCGTTTGCCTCGGCGCAGGACGATGAATCGGTGCGCTACCTGCGCGTGGAGGTCGTGGACGGGGACACCTTGACGACGGTTGGGTCGAGGGCAAAGGGAGCGGATATCAAGACAGACTTCGATTCCCTCGCACAGGTAAGGAACCTGTCAATGCGCCACTGCTGTTTGTGTTGTTTCTCCTTTCCTGCTTTGTGGCATGGGTCCAACGGAGTACACAACAGTATCGTGTTGTGCAATGCACGACACGCGGAGCAATAGCAACATCGTTTGAGCTTGTCCCTGCGGCGTAACAATAACGAGGGCGTTAGTACTTTCGTAATTTCGTAAACGGACTGCTGGGTGTTTATGAAGTTCGTTTGCATACATAAACGTCGGTACAGCAGAATTCCTGGGGTTTTAAAAAGTGCACCTGTTTTGTTCGGATGAATGTGTAGGAAGGGAGTGCGATTTCTCTTCCTTCACGAATTGTTGTGTTGGGGTCCCATTGTCCAATGTGTCCAACCCTCTCGAAGAAACCCTCGAAAATTCCCTCGGGGGTTTCTCAAGTAGCCACACGGAATTGAGACTATTTCGCCGTGCTCCAACCCCAGTTCGCCAGCGCGAAGAAAGCGGCCCGATTGCACCACTTTTGCCCACCCTGGTTCAACTCGAACGGTGCAATCCTGCTGCAACCTTGTTCCATCCGTCCTACAATTCAAACATGTAACTTCCAGCCCATTCTTGTGTCGTAGTGTGCGACCAGTAGGCGGAACATAACAAAATTTGCAACTTATATTTTCCCCCTTACAACCCTTCAGATAAGCCTTCACCACGCCCTTGCCACACACCAATTACAGTAGAGGTCCCTGTTTAAGGCCGCCCTGTGACAGACGAAATAACCGGCCTTAAATAGGGCACCCGGCCTTATTGGGAACGGGTCTTGTTTAAGGCCGGTACCGGCCTTATAGAGGATTGAGTTTTCCTCAATAAGGCCGATACCGGCCTTATTGAGGAATATTGATGCTGCACTCAAGCCTTTCGGGACGGTGGCGGGCCCCAACTTGTCTGAAGGCTCGCAGGAAGCACGCTATACATGAAAGATAAATATTGCCGCACAAGTCGTGACAAAAAATGATGTTGCATATTTCCAAATATGTATTACTTGCTGCCGCAGCTGACGTCAACAGAAAATATGTAGAAGTATATTAGAAGTATTTCACTTGGTACGTGCGAAGTACATACATATCTCATCGAGTGACACCCTCGTGAAGGTCGACAATAATACTGCCAATCCTGATCAGAATGAGAGGACGCCCACAGCAAAAAAAAGTCCGACGATCTGCACAACACAACAACCATGGAAAAATGCACATGTTGCACCGACTGACCAACTGGTGCTTACCCGTCGAACACAAAGTCGACACAAAAATCGAACAGCCCGACCTCTCCACCCCCAGATACACTAACAACGGCACACGAAAGTTGAAAATACAAGGATGAAACTGGACATGACACCGGACGCGTGAGAACCACACTCAACTGATGCCTCCCCCCTTGCGCCTATCGAGTCTACAAAAATTGCCTCATGTCTGTCTGCCTCGCTGCCTTCGAACCATGCGCTGCGATCATTGCCATTTTGGCCTTCTGTAGATGGAAAGCGGCGTCACGGTTGCCGCTCCCCTCCGCTGCTGTCCCATGAAGTTTGTGGCTGTGGAGGTCGTTGCGCTTCACGAAGTTCTTGCTCCACTTGTCGCCAGCCTTGAAGTCCTCGAGCCTCTTCCTCACGGAGTCAGTCGTTTTTTCCGAGCCCAACAGGGTGGCCTTGGCAGAGCGGCCGAACGATCGGATAACGTTGCCGGTGACGGTGTACTTCGCCATCCGCGCCTTGTTGACGAGGTCCAAAACTAAAGAATCCAACTGTACAAAGTCAGCAGCAAGCACCACAGGGTTCAAATCGGTGTGCGCGGGTTAGAACGGTACTGCTTTCACGGATGAATAATATCACAAAGTTACGCACCAGCACGAAAGTTCACGCCACCCTAGCCAAAATGCACATGCAGATAAAATGAGCAGTGGAAAAAAATGTGTATAAATTTAAATATGTTTGTGCCTTTTTTTGTCGTGTGTGGGTGGTGCATCAGATGAAAAATGTTCGTGGTGCTTCCAATGCAGTTGACCGCGCAAAGCATAATCTCAGTGCATAATCCAGACTGCTTTGGGGGGGGTCGCTATTTGCACACATGAAGCACTGCGATTTTTCTTGAAAGTGCGATATCAACCGAGAGTGGTACAAACGGCAGGCTGACAAAAAAAAAAAATCAACACCGAGTGGTACAATTCAGGCTGCAAAAAAAAAATCAATATATACTCTAGCATACCTCGGGAAAATCCCCCGCCCGAAGGTTCTTCCTTGAGGTGGCGCTGCTGCGAGTTTTGGCGGCCTGATTCTCTATCTTCGCCCGCTCGGCCTTGACGTTACGCACCGTGCGCTCCCCGCAGTTGAACTGCTCTGCGATCGACTTCTGCGTCCGCGTGCCCTTGTCCAGCAGACGTAGGATCTCCATCTTGGTGCCGATGTCCATCCGCGTCCGCGAACCAGTCATGTCCGGGTGGTTGGCTGGTTTCGTTTTTTTTTGTCTTGCCGTGTCTCCGCTCTCCGTGGCTGACCCTTTGCGCTTGCCCTTGCCAGCTGTGGAGCCCTTGCCAGCTGTGGAGGCATCACTAGCCTTTTGCTTTTGCTTGGAGGCAATGCACGCATAGCAGATGCGGGCGGTTTCGAACTCCGCATCTTGGTCTTGTTCCCCACACAGTCCGTGCAGTCTGCCGCCACACCCTCCGTGACATTGGTGGCCGTCAGGGGCTTCTGGCGTACGGTCTGGCAGTTGGCACAGTTCACCAGCCGCACAAGGCATGTGTGCCCCTACTGGTTGGGTCGGTAGGGGTATGCGCTAGGTATTGCTGTTGTGTAGATCTCTGGAGTGGTTGTGTTGCGGCTTGAATAATGCTGGCGAAGAACTGGGTGCGTCACACCAAAACCGGCCTTATATAGGGTGCGCGGATGCCCTAATAGGCCTTAAATAGGGACTAACCCTGTTTAAGGCCTATGCGGCCTTAAAAAGGAAGGAAAGTGTGACAGACGATTTCACCGGCCTTAAAAAGGGCCACCGGCCTTAAATTTGCGGCCTTAAACAGGGACCTCTACTGTAACTGGTGCTTTTCAAGTCTCAGCCGAATTCCCGGCTCTCGAACCACGTTATCCGTCATTTGCGCCCTCTCCTTCAGCTCCACGTTGATGTGCTTCCCGATGTCCGGCAGCTTTGATAGTCCCCTTGGACTCTCGATCCGCCAGCCCATACAAATACCGTTGCGTCACCATCGCAAATTGCCTCCCTGCACGAGTGAGCCCCCCCCCTAACACCACAGCGTATCGTGTACATGTAGCCCTTACGTAGCCACCTGCCTTCCTCCCCTCTTGTGTGCCATCGCTCTCTTGCACCCGGAACCTTCGATCAACAGCGTTCGTTTCCAGCTGTGGCTTGCTCTGGCTGATGTACCCAACACGTCGACACCATGTCCCCACGTTGTATCAATTCCACCTCATGTTCCCAAGCGCGCGTGTCCAAGCCCGTCCAATATGTGTAATGTTCACCTCTTGCTCTGCGGTATTGTCCGTCATACATACGGGCAAGCAAGGATCGGAGGGAGGTTAGGGAAGGGGGGAAAGGCTCATCGAGGAGTCATGACGGGACCTCTAGAGTGACCACGCGTCGGTGAAGCTCCCTCAGTCCACGATCATGGCGCTCCGTCCCCCGGAGGTTGGGAAGGGCAAGGAAGCGGGGTGGGAAGACCAGAGGGGGATGAGAGTACTACTGGCCTTGTCAGGAAAGAAACAGCCATCATACCGCATAGTGCCAAGGGACCAACCGATGGAGGAAACCCACGGCGAAGCATTCGCACGACGTTTACACTGAGAAGAATCAATGACATGGAAGAGCCGACACATCCAGCGGTCATGGGCGCGTGATCGCTGGGATGTGTCGGCTCTCCCATCTCATTGATTTCTTCTCCGTGTAGACGTGGTGCGAATGGTTCTTCGTGGGCCTACTTCCGCGATTGATCCCTTGACACTAAGCGATGCACAGAATGACTTGTTGATTCAGTCTGTGCCCAGCAATCAATTTTACCGGCGCTGCATGTACGGATGGGGCGCGCAGTTGAGAAAAATTCTGTCAGGAAAAAATGTCTCAATTTTTTACGGAAAATAAGAAAAAACGCCTAAGAAACGCAGCTCAATCTCGGCTACAACATGAGAAACGTGAAGAATCATCGTGCGTTACCCCAAGACAAAAGAAACAAGGGGTAGAAGCTGGGGGAGCGTGTTCTAAGAAACGCCCCACTGCTGCTGCTGCTGCTGCTGCTGCTGCTGCCATGCTCCCACCCCCTACCGAGCAGTAATTTTTTGGTAGGGGCAGAAAGTGGTTATTTTCGCGGCGCCCCCCGCACCCCAGCGCCGCCGCAATGTGCGCTACCCACTGCTGCCGAACTTCTGTACTGCCACAACCCCCAACGTTCGCCACACGAAGCTGTCGGTGTAGTGCTGCATGAAGGCTTGGTGTGTTGTGTTGTTTTCTTCGCCATCAGAAATAAGAAAATATGAGAATCAGCCCGATGCGACAGCCCGACAGCCCAATGGAAAAAGAAGTCCGTTTTACGAAGGTGGCCGACTTGGGCTGGTCCTTCTGCCCAGAATAAGAAATTGATGCTCGACCCGATTTTGACGTTTCTTATCTCCGGGCCGCATCTACACGGCCACCGGCAGCATTCAACCGGCGTTATTTGAGGGGGGCCCACTGATGTGCACATCTGTCCTCGTGAATCGTGCATCAGGAAGTGGTCGAGGCAACACCCTGTCTGTTCTTGGTGGCGTTGGACGGCGACGAATTGAAGTCGATCACGGGACGCGGGGGCGCAGCAGGAGGGGCGGCGCGGCTGTGGCTGCTGGTGGCGTGGATCCCCGATGATTCCAAGGCGAGTAAATCACAAATCGTTTTTTTTTTTTTGGAGGCTTGGTGTCACAACGCTGATTTGAAGTGTTGGCCAAAAAAAAATGGACTTGTCGTGCTGCTGGAGATTTATGCGTCAGGAGGGGGTGTGATTTGAAACCCGTCCATCCCCCCTGATGAAACCTCACAGGTTGATTTGTATTGGAGATTCGGACACATAGACGCGCTGAGTGAGGATAGCTGTATACTGAAAATCCACAGTAGCTATAGTGAGGTGACAATTCGAGAATGCAGTACACATAGACCCGATCCCCAACCCGTACCCGAACCCCTCCTGAAAAATAGAGGCCATGCGCCCCCCCCCCCAGAGGATGAGGGTACAGTACAAAGTAAGCACAAGCTTACCGAAGGTTAATGCATATTGGTACGGCAAAAAAAAAATACTGAAGTCCCCCATTGCGCGGTGGAGGACTTAGAGTTAAGCCACCTCAAAACTCTCCGGCGTGAGATCCAAAATGGATCGGACGGTGGAGGGGGGGGGGTGTTCGTTGCTTGAAATGGATCAATAAAACATAGAGCAATCAAAGCAAAGCTTATTACTCACGTCGAGCAAGCCGAACGATCTGACCAACCACGCAAAAACTGCGGAGCTAGATCTGCGGCACGCACAATGCATTGTTTTCGATTGGAGAGAGGCGAGTACAAAGCAGCAAGGAATTGTTGGCCAAACTTTCGGCAGATAGGTCTACTCGGGAGCGTAAGTGGGGTAGCAACCCATGGTGGAGCGTACATGAGAAGCTGGACGTTGGTTTACCCTCCATACCGGCGTGTGAGTAAGATCTTAGGCTATGCAAGTCGTCCCTGAACTTATTGTGGTGAAAATTACCTCCCAGGAGGAAAGTAGCTTGTACCGCGGGACTTCGGAGATGATAAATTCGGTGGTCGGGGGACGTCTGGGTGTTTACTAAGAAGAACGCCCGGCACAAGACTGGGGTACTTGTGCCAGGAGGCGTGAACTTGGATCTAGACTACGAGCCTATGTTGGAGGCGATATTTAGCGTCGGTGAGCCGGCAAAAGAACTGAAAGCAACCACAACCCCCACCGGGCACTCGGGTTGAGAAGGCCGAGTATTCCGTATACCTTCCTGAAAAAACACGAAAAACGAGTAGCCACGGGTCCAGTTGCTGTAGAGATCATGAGGATGGTGAAGAAGCCGGGAGGGTGGAAGCAGAAACTGTGGAAGGGAGACAGGTTGGAACTGCTGCTGTTTGGGATTCCAAGGGACATGACGAGGATGGAGTTCAAGAAGTGTTGTGACAGGGAGGGACTGCACTGCCTAGCAAGGGGAGAAGTAGGCAGAGAGCATGAATATTTCCGGTGAAAATTGACCATGGGAGACAGCCAAGAGTGCTTGGGGGTTGACATCGAGACGCTGTCGAACTACGTAAGGAAGTTTGGATGGAGGGTTTGCGTCGCAAACATGATAGAAACAGAGAAGGTAAGGAGACAAAAAGGCGAGGGCGATGGAGGCGAAGAAGGGACCGGGCGGGGGAGGCGAGCAGGCAAGTCAGAAGAACGCCGAGAAGAAGCGGAAGGCGAACGGTAGAGTGCGCAAAATCTCCAATAGGGAAAAGCACAAGCTGAGAGTGGGGTCGTGGAACGTGTGCGGGTTCGCAAGGAGTGAGCGCAAGCGGTTGGAAATAGTGGACCAAATAGAACAAAACGATCTAGATGTAGTGGGGATCCAAGAGACGTGGGAACTGAAGGATGGGGACGTGGTAAGCAAACTTGGTAAATACCGGTGGGTAGGGAAAACAAGAAAGGGCTTAGACCCGAAGAAAAGGGGGGAGGGGGGAGTCGGATTCCTGGTCAAGGAACACTTGTTTGGCGTGGTGGAAGTAGTGGTGAAAACAGAGTTCGAGGAAA